CGTTAAGACTGACTTTGATTCCGTACAATTTTGCCCTGCTCAATCTCAAACCCAAGTGATTATGACACTCTCTAGAAATTTCCGTGAAGTTAGGGTTAGCAGTGAATATGAGTTTAAGCGAATATTAATTAAGCATGCCAAGTGATTGAAAACTGTTGCGTTCAACTGTTGTTGTGTTGTGTATTATTAGATTTGGAAGATTGAGGGGAATTTTATTAGACCTACAAATAAGCAAATATCACGCCAATACAAAATAGAATATTGTCGATGGGTACTAATGCAAGATAGTGTTTGTGTCTTGTTGTGGTGGAGAAAATATCAAAGTCAACGAGGGAAGTTTGAAGACTATGAACGTGACGATTCGGAAAAGTGGATTAATGAATGTCAAATTGAAGTAAGCTACAATTGACTAAATGCAGTAAAGTCAAATATCGTCTCTTAGATCCAATTGATAAAAGCTATTTGTATCAATTTGATGGATAGATGTGGAATGCACAGGAATGGACTTGTCGATCATTCAAAGTACCTGCTTTCATCCATGATCGGTACATTGCTACCAATCAACATGTCCTGTCCTTAACGCACATCAACATCTACCGTGATGCAGCCTATTGGATATTGTCATACACCAGCTCTAGAAGTAGTACAATTGGTCTGTTAAAAATGGAACAAGAATTTGAAAATCAGATTCGGCCAATATTCTATGATGGAAAGGTTGAGAATATTTTGGTATCAGGCGATCAGTCAATGATCGCTATTGACTGTGACAGAAAGGTTCGTGCAAAGTTGGGTTATTACGATATTGGCGATCAGTTTGGGTCAATAGTAGATGATGTTGACGTTGAGAATATTTCGGCATTAGGCGATCAGTCAATGATAGTCAATGACTGTTCAAAGGTTAGTGCAATATTGGGTTACTCATATTCATGATGCGTCATAAAGTAGATCAGCATAATATTTTATAGTGCAGTAATATTAGTCCTATATTGTAATACTGTGGTATACTGTATGTAGGAAGTGATACTCAAGATGAGTGGTGATCAAGTCCAATCTTTTGTTAAACTTGATCAATCTGGTCGATTAATGTTTATTCCTGGTAGTAATCGATTGCTTATTTATGGCAACAGCTTAGATGTTAATGTATATGAATATAATTTACAAGGTAAGACCTGATGGTTGTACAACAACTCTAATTTAATCATGCATTCATTCATGGTCACAATCGTTTTTATTAAACTAAGGCGATAAAATTGCTTGGCAAGATATCTCTCAAACAAAATCAGTTGATGTTGGTAGACCCCAACGTAACCCCCAAACTACCGTCAACATATTCGACGTAGGTTAAGCTTTCATCAGCACTAGTAGCTCTATCGACTTTGTTCAATCCTCTGCTCAATTGAATTGAATTGAATAATATTGATTGGTTGCAGCTGATCAAGTTTGTAGGTATAGAAGATTGTAGAAAGTACAGGGAATTAATCAATGGAATACTTGAAGAAGAATCGACTGCTGAAGATTGGATACGCTTCAGATATAGAAAGAAGGATAACACACTCATTCTCATGAACGTATGTTGAAAATACCAGTTTGAAGTTTGTATGAAAATGACGGTAGTATTATTTAGAAGAAGATGATGAAAATGAGAATGCTTATTAGCTAACCTAAGAAGTTGTTGAACTGATTTTACAATTACG